AGCCTACTAGAATGTGTGTGCCCCCAAGCAAAAGTCATTCCGCTACCTAAGAATAGTAAAGCCCCCTTTGCTGGCCCAAATAGCTGACCAATTAGCCTGTTACCAACCCTTAGTAAACTATTGGGAAAAATTGTGTTTGACCAGAAACAATGCTATTTTACAGTAAACAAATTGGCAACAAACTTTCAGCATGCTTATAGAGAAGGACATTAAACAAGCACTTACACAAATGACTGATGATTGGCTGAGAGAAATTGATGATAAAAAGATTGGGGGGGCTGTTTTAGGCTTCAGTGCGGCTTTTGACATTATCGATCATAGTCTGCTGCTGGATAAACATATGTGTTATGGCATTACTCCACCTGCTATATTGTGGATACAGAGTTACCTGTCTAACAGAAAACAGAGGGTGTTCTTTAGTGGAAGCCTCTCCAACATAATCCAGGTAGAATCAGGAATTCCCCAGGGCAGCTGTCTAGGCCCATTACTTTTTTCAATCTTTACTAATGACATGCCACTGGCTTTGAGTAAAGCCAGAGTGTCTATGTATGCGGATGACTCAACACTATACATGTCAGCTACTACAGCAACTGAAATGACTGCAACAATTAACAAAGAGTTGCAGTTAGTTGCAGAGTGGGTGGCAAGGAATAAGTTAGTCCTAAATGTTTCAAAAACTAAAAGCATTGTATTTGGGACAAATCATTCACTGAACCCTAAACCTCAACTAAATCGTGTAATAAATAATGTGGAAATTTAGCAAGTTGAAGTGACTAAACTGCTTGGAGTAACCCTGGATTGTAAACTGTCATGGTCAAAACATATTGAACAGTAGCTAACATGGGGAGAAGTATGTTCATAATAAAGCCCTACTCTACCTTCTTAACAGCACTATCAACAAGGCAGGTCCTACAGGCCCTAGTTTTGTCACACCTGGACTACTGTTCAGTCGTGTGGTCAGGTGCCACAAAAAAGGACTTAGGACAATTGCAATTGGCTCAGAACAGGGCAGCACAGCTGGCCCTTGGGTGTACACAGAGAGCTAATATTAATAATATGCATGTCAATCTCTCCTGGCTCAAAGTGGAGGAGAGATTGACTTCATCACTACTTGTATTTATGAGAGGTATTGACATGTTGAATGCACCGAGCTGTCTGTTTGAACTACTGGCACACAGCTCGGTCACCCATGCATACCCCACAAGACATGCCACCAGAGGTCTCCTCACAGTCCCTAAGTCCAGAACAGACTATGGGAGGTGCATAGTACTACATAGAGCCATGACTACATGGAACTCTATTCCACATCAAGTAACTGATGCAAGTAGTAAAATTAGATTTAAAAAACAGATACAAAAACACCTTATGGAACAGCGGGAACTGTGAAGCAACACAAACATAGGTGCAGACAATGCATACACACACACACGATAACATACGCACTATACACACGTACACATGGATTTTGTACTGTAGATATGTGGTAGTGGTGGAGTTGGGGCCTGAGGGCACACTGTGTTGTGTAATCTGTGAATGTATTGTAATGTTTTTAAAATTGTATGAACTGCCTTAATTTTGCTGGACCCCAGGAAGAGGCAGCAGCTAATGGGGATCCATAATAAATACAAATACAAATACACCACTACTACCACTCGTCCCCGGCATGCTCACTGGAGGTATAAAAGGCATATGCAGGCAGGAATGTGGTAAAAATGGGCCTGTTTGTAAGGGGGTCGTATAAACATTGTCCAATTTGTTTTACAAGCGAAATACCGTAAATCTTATGTGAAAGCAGTATCATATTACAGAGCAAGTGGTAAAGCTTCATATGACACCAATGTTTGCTTTGTAACATCAACAGATGAAACACTATGGAGGCTTAAAGGAGGGCTGGGTAAGACCAAAATGTCATAAATATGCCAGTGTAGCTCAGATGGTAGAGCATGGCGCTTGCAACGCCAGGGTTGTGGGTTTCGACTCCCACTGGGGGCCAGTATGACAATGTATGCACTCACTAACTGTAAGTCACTCTGGATAAGAGCGTCTGCTAAATGACTAAAATGTAAATGTAAATGTCTTTCCAATTCAAAAAGCACAAGAAAGAGGATTTCGACACCCACCATCTCAGATTGTTCTGAAATCGTTTCTGTTGTTAGAAACAGATAAAATAAGCATTCCTGCAACATTATTTTGTTGAAATATAATTTGATCTCTGAGAAATTAAGCTAATTGATTGCATCCAAATTCATATAATATTCAGATAATATAGTACCTGACATAGTACCTGTACCAAACTTTTCTAACAATGAGTTAGACATGAGGAATCCAAAGGAAAGGTCAAAAGCCACCCATGGACCCCCCACGCCAATCCCACCCCAACAACGAGTATATAGTATCAGTTATCTGTGTCTGACAAGTAGTATGGAGCTGCGGCTCGGAGTATTGTTGCATGTAATGTATTCCCAGTGAATTTGGTGATGGTTTTTTTCCCCCCTGTTCAGAGAAATGAGTCATTCAAGTTGTTAGGTTTATGTCCCATCCTACATCCTGATATTACCCGTTTCTGACCACTAGATTGTGCTGTTCCTGCTATTAGGTTAAAAAGTTTGAAGATCCCCCCAATTTTAAAGGGATAGTTCACCCAAATTACAAAATAACATTGGTTGCCTTACCCTGTAAGCAGTCTATTGACAAAGTATGACCACAACCCATGCTTTGGTTTTGTTGGCCACTGTTTCAAATGCTAACTTTTTAGCATTTGTGGCACAAATCCAATGTAAGTCAATGGTACCTATATAAGAATTTTCACGTGTCATGTTCAAATCATCCTAAAGTATCAAAAAATAGATTGTGTAACTCAATGTTACTTATAGATTATTTGGATATGAAGCGGCAAAATTATATAGTTACCATTGACTTGAATTGGATTTGTGCCACAAATGCTAAAAAGTGAGCATTTGAAACAGTGGCCAGGTAAACAAAACCAAAGCATGGGTTGCTGTCATACCTTTTCCATAGATTGGAAACGAATAGGTCATTTAGTAATTTGGGTTAACTATCCCTTTAACATTGAAGGGGGGGGGGGGGGGGGGGCAGATTCTTAAAACAATACATCTAGTGGAAAGAACCTGGTAATATCAGGATGTAGGATGGGACAGAAACCTAACAACTTCAATAACTAATTTATCTGAACTGGTGGAAGAAAAAAAACATCACAAAATTCTCAGAGAATACATTACATAGGATGAATAAACAATACGCAGAGCCGCAGCTCCATACTTCTTGTCAGGCATAGAGAACTAATACTATATACTTGTTGTTGGGTTGGGTTTGGTGTGGTGGGTCCGTGGGTGACCATTTCTTTGGATTCCTCATGTCCTACTCATTTTTAGATTTTTTTGGGGTCCAAATCGGATGTTAGGTACTTTATTTATTGAATATTATGTGAATCCTATGAATTAAAATTGCCAATTTGGGTGCAATCAATTAGCTTAATTTCTCAGAGAGCAAATTATATTTGAACAAAATAATGTTGCAGGAATTCTAATCTTATCTGTTTCTAACTACAGAAACAATTTCATAAAAATCTGAGATGGTGGGTATCATGGCTTGCTGAAATGACATGAAACGACCCACCAACTTTTATAAATTATTTAGCAATTATGCTTTAAGATGCACATGTCAAATATATGTCAACAATCCTTCCTCAAAAGACTATTCTTTGGATTACATTATATGAAAATCCCCCAAATCTTGGTCTTTTTTTTGTCTGGGTTTTGTGAGGAATCACTCTAGACCTACTTTAGGTGGTTGCGCTCTGATGGAAAAACTCCAGTTCGTTAGTCTTTAGTTTTGGGCTGTGATGTCTGGGAAATCGGGGCTTGGCTGTCATTGTGACTGAGGGGGAGGGGGGAATTTACACTCATGGAAATTTGGCTCAGGACCATGTTTCCGGTTGCCCTATATGGCACTGTTGAAAACATGTTAGATCCCATTGTGGGTTCAAGGTATCTGTAAACAGATGATTGTCTTCCCAGGGGGGGTTCTTTATTCTTATAAGGTCCCCTAATATGGAAACAAACACTTCCAAACATTTGGAAAAGGTCATGCTTTCAGCTTGACTGGCCTCACTTTTAAGGGCCTTTAGTCACTTTTTAGGGTGTCTGTTCACATGAGAAGGAAAAAAGTGTGATGGGTCTGCACTGCAAATCAAGATTTGTTAACGTGTACTTCTAGATCAAATCAATGAACATGAAAGTCACCAGGCCATGAAATGAAAGGACCTTTTGTTGTTGAGGAGAACAGTGTAAATCACCTCTAGGTTTAGAATAATTTTTATGTAGGCCTACTTTTCCTTAGAGGGCATGATGGAACAGAGATTGATGGTTGTACAGGACATGGATGATGGGTCAGTCTCAATTCCAGGTTTTTGCTATTAAACATGCCTGGTGTTGTTGCCTCTGTCAGCAAACATATCCTGTTGGCACAGTATACAGTTAAGGTCATAGCAATGGAAATAATATAATTACCCTGGTCAGAAAAACCCTTTGTTACTTCGAAAGGACCAGATCAAGATCAGAGGGATTTACTAGAGTGCCTTGGATCCTATTGTTTGTCATTTCACATGATCTTTGGGTGGGTTTGCTTTGGATGTCAGGATTTTGTATTGTTACATTGTTAACAGTTTGCTGTGTCTGTATCAAATGCTCTACCCTAAGAAACTGAAGAGAATGGAAATACAGCACTGTAATGAAATGTTGTTTCAGACACCAAGCCTTCAATAAAAAGCTTTGCGAATACAATTACGTCTTAGCATCTGTTTTAGACCTAATCATTATGTTTTTATGGATGAGGCTTGCTGGACAAAGATAATACTGTCCCATGAAGCATGAGGACACATGCAGTTGGGCTTCTTCAGTCAGACACCTGTAGTATGGATGAGCAGCCCTCCCGTCAGGTCTCATAGCCTGGGCACGGTGGGCAGCAGCAGTCATTCAGCCATGAAAATGCCCTATGCAAAGCCACTGCTGTGCTGCTACTACTCTGGCAGATTGGCCTGGATCAGGCTGGCCCTGGAGAAGACGGCACAGTCTGTATTCGGGTCTGGCATTGGGGGAAACACCAAAACACACACAGTACTCTGGATACTCAGTTGCTCACAGGGGTTTCCTGGAAATGTTTCATTGAAGAACAGTCATTAAACAAAATGGAAGGACAAATTGCTAGTTTAATCTCAGATTAACATTGTGTATTGCATTGGTAAAGTGTTCAACATATAATCTTACCTGTTCGGTCAATCATGGTGCGTGTCTGCATAAACCTTACTGTATTTCCCACCGAAACGTTTGACAAAACTGTATCGTGTTTTGTTTATCCACCTGGCTGCATGTTTTTTATCCTCCACTGTCAAGTACTAATACATTATTAAACATGCACTTTGGTCAGTGGAGAGGAAAGGTGTCTGGTCGGGTTGATTGGTACACTTGGGTTGACATGATGACACCCAGGATCTCATTTAAACCATTATGTTTATGCCCTTTGTGTTGTATCTCTCAACTGTTCAGTTATTATTTTTGACTGTAGGCTAAGTGGTAGAAACCATGTGCGAATTAAAAATGTTTCTTTTTTTCAACCAACAGGTGGGTGAGATTGAGAGTGGCTGGATGCGAGAATTATTGGGGGTGAGTTTGGGATCCCTCTCAGGTGTCCACTATAGTATGGATCCTCAACTAAATGGATCCTTACTGTTACTACATAGGTCAGCTTTTTTACTGTTGAAATGCAAACACCTTAAGCCACCCACTCATTCTGTGACTGAACCATGAACACTCCTGGATGGTGGACTTTGACCAGATATGGGCATTATAAACTGTCCTTGCTACTCAAGCTTTTCAATATCAGTCATTATATACTGGCTCCATTCCCAAAGAGGTGAAGAAGACACGTTCTACTATTTAGCCAACACATTATGCATAGTAAAAGTCCAAAGTTGTAAAATAAATCTTAAGAAATAACAGTTACTTATCAGAATTCAGTAGCTTGCCCCACACTTACCACCATTATGGCACATGATTGTGGTAGATTAACGGCCTGCCTGATGTCTCTGTTTTTTCACAGACTGTCCAGAGTCACAAACCACGCTTCATCGCCCTGCATTTCCAGGAGGTTGGAGGAAAGGACTACATGGTCAACATGGGCCATGTAGAGAAGTTCTTCTGGTAAGATATCACTGACATCACTGTGCCAAACTCTATGGTTCACGTTCCAAAGTATTCATAAATGCCGTCCCAGACTCCTTATAGTTTTATGACTATTTTATCTGAGAAACAGCATAACTCTCATGATTTCTCTGGCAGGTGATGTGAAAGAAGGGATTTTATCTGAAAAATTGGTCATAAAATCTGTGTGAAAGACTATATGATGTTATCATAACCTCAGACATCTACTGTCCACACCTCCCACCAGACGACCAAGTCCCTAAAAAGTAATGACACTGTGATATTGTATGCAGCAATGTGTTCAGCCTATTATTCTCTCCTCCTCTGGTCTTCAGGAACATTGAGTCCAGTGAGGAGATGAGGGACTTTGACAGGGTCTGCACCTATGTGGACAACCACTTCAAGAACGTGGACAGCTTCACTGTGAGTTATACAGGGCTGCACTGATCAACTGACTTAAGTTGAATTGAGAGACTCTATAACCACCATGCTTGGTCTAGGGTTACACCAACTCAGTTGTTTGACATGAACATTGATATAGTAATGCCCAACAGTGGAGCTTGATGGACATGAGGCCTAGGTAAAGCAATGGCATGTTGTGGAAATCCTTACAAGAGTTTCCTTTGGTGTCTTTGTCTTTAGGGATCAGACACACTAATCACATTTGCTGGCCGAGAGTACTTAGCACCACTGAACGTAATTTGCGAACTGGGTTTGCACGGATTTTACATGTAGAATCGCGTGAAAAATGAGGCTGTCAGACGTCTACAGCCGGTGGTCCCTAAAACACAGCGCGGTGAACCATCAGTAGATAAATGCTAGATCCACATTCGGTGCAATGTGTGCAAGCCTTTAGAAGAGCTAGTATCTCCTACTACAGTATAATTCTTGTTCAGACAGCAGTGTATCTCTGTGACCACAAGGTGGGGCCCTGCTCCATACTACAGCTCCCTTGTAAATGCCCTGTTTATTTTTAGACTGAGAAACAGAGGGAATATTGCATTTAGAATATCAATATACATTTTCTGCTTGCCAAAGCAAAATGCTATCTTCAGGACATCCATTCTGTAAAGGTCGTACTTAAATGATTATACATTTATTTTCAAGCATACCTGATACACTCACCTTGTTGAACATGATATGAGTATTTTAAACATGATCATAGGGTGAGGCTTTACATTATCGTTTCATTACATAGACAGGGTAGCCATATTTTTTTACAAAAAGCATTCAATTTAAATATATAAGTATCTGCTTTTCTCAATAGTATAATCCGAGGACCAAGCTTCAACAACATGAAAGCAGTGAATGGTGGTGGACCCCAACCCACTGGACAGCTCAGGTTTATCATTAATGTAGGGTCTCACAGTTTATTTGACCGTTGGAACTAGGGTGATATTATACTGAACAAAAATATAAATGCAACATGTAGTGTTGGTCCCATGTTTCATGAGCTAAAATAAAAGATCCCAGGGAATTTTCCATACACACAAAAAGCTTAATTTCACAAATTTGTTTACATCCCTGTTAGTGAGTATTTCTCCTTTGCCAAGATAATCCATCCACCTGACAGGTGGGGCATATCAAGAAGCTGATTAAACAGCATGATCATTGCACAGGTGCACCTTGTGCTGGGGATAATAAAAGGCCACTCTAAACTGTGCTGTTTTGTCACACAACACAATGCCACAGATGTCTCAAGTTTTGGGGGTGTGCAATTGGCATGCTGCCTGCAGGAATGTCCACCAGAGCTGTTGCCAAATAATTAAATGTTAATTTCTCTACCATACGTCGTTTTAGAGAATTTGGCAGTAAGTCCAACCGGCCTCACAACCACAGACCACGTGTAGCCATGCCAGCCCAGGACCTCCACAGCCCAGGACCTCCACATCAGGCTTTTTCACCTGCGGGATGTTCTGAGAAGAGCCACCCAGACAGCTGATGAAACTGTGGGTTTGCACAACCTAATAATTTTTGCGCAAACCATCAGAAACCGTCTCAGGGAAGCTCATCTGCGAGCGTGTATGGCGCATGTGGGCGAGCGGTTTGCTGATGTCAACGTTGTGAACAGAGTGCCCCATGGTGGCGGGTGGGGTTATGGTATGGGCAGGCATAAACTACGGACAACTAACACAATTGCATTTTGCATGTCACCCATTGAGCATGTTTGGGATGCTCTGGATCGACATGTACTACAGCGTGTTCCAGTTCCTGCCAATATCCAGCAACTTTGCACAGCCACTGAAGAGGAGAGGGACAACATTCCACAGGCCACAATCAACAGCCTGGTCAACTCTATGCGAAGGAGATGTGTCGCGCTGCTTGAGGTAAATGGTGGTCATACCAAATGATGACTGGTTTTCTGATCTACGTCCCTACCTTTTTTGTTAAGGTATCTGTGACCCCAGTCATGTGAAATCCATAGATTAGGGCCTAATGAATTTATTTAAATTGACTGATTTCCTTATCTGAACTGTAACTCAGTAAAATCTTTGAAATTGTTGCTTGTTACCTTTATATTTTTGTTCAGTATAGTTTGAGCTAAGGTTGCAAAATTCCTGGAACTTTCAATAAATTCCCTGGTTTTCCCAAAATCCCGGTTGGAGGTTTCCCTGGTTTTGACCTCCGTGTGTAGGCAGGACTTTGGGTTACATGCTGAGCTTGTATATTTGACCTTTGAAAGGAACAGAAATACCAACACACTTAACTGTTGTATCCTTTTGTATAGTTAATTGAAACGTGACAGTATGCGGGTGGGAATTTTTCTCAAAGTTATAGTATGATGAAGTGTATATTTTGAAAGTTATAAAGTGTGAGTACACACAGAGGCCATGTGTTTAAAGGGTGGTTTATACACTTGGTCTTGGCTCTCCCCTGGTCTTATCCTAATTTATCTTCTGGCCCACCACCTCTCTCTAAATGTAACTACAGTATATGACTGTGTGTCTGTTCAGCACTAAACTGTCATTAAAGAGCTGCAGGAGGCTGTCTGTCTCAATCTCCACAGCTGTCATACTGCTAGCTGTCACGCCCTGGCTCTGGGACTCTGTTATGTTGAGCCAGGGTGTGTGGTTTCTATGTGTTTTGTGTGCTAGGGTTATTATCTAGTTATTTTGTTTCTATGTTGGCCGGTGTGGTTCTCAATCAGAGGCAACGTGTATCAGCTGTTGCTTGTTGTCTCTGATTGGGAACCATACTTAGGCAGCCGTTTGGGCATTGTCATTGTGGGATCTTGTTCCGTATTGGTTTTGTGTAGTGTAACCAAGGACGTCACGTGATCGTTTGTTGTTTTGTTCGTGTGGTGACTCAAATAAATAAAGTATGTTCACATTCCACGCTGCGCATTGGTCCACTTCCTCCGACGATCGTGACAGAAGATCCCACCATAACTGGACCAAGCAGCGTGTCCAGGAGCCAACGCCAGAGGTGACTCTGAAGGATATCAACCTCGACTGGGTCAAGCCGCGGGAGGAGGAGAGAGGCTGGACTTTGGAGCAGAGGAGCGAGAGTCTGGCGAGAGCCATGGAGGCCTGGCCCACGGGGAGGAGAGACACCCATAACATTTTTAGGGGGGGGGCTCACGCCGTGGACGACGGGGCAACAGGAGGCCGGGATAGAGTGGTTCAGCGGGTTGACAAAGGAGGCCGCCAGGTTACGGGAGTCACTGGTCACCAGGGGGAAGGAGAATGTAGAGGCACGGCGAGAGGTACTGGGGTGTGTTGCCAGTCCGGTCCGGCCCGTTCCTGATCCCCGCGTAGGGCCAGTGGTGTGTGTCCCCAGTACGGTCCGGCTTGTTCCTGTCCCTCGCACCGAGCCTGTGGTGCGCGTCGCCAGCCCGGTCCGGCATGTTCCTGCCCCTCGCACCAAGCCTGTGGTGCGCGTCGTCAGCCCGGTCCGGCCTGTTCCTGCTCCCCGCACCAAGCCAGTGGTGCGCTTCGTCAGCCCGGTTCGGTCCGTCCCTGCTCCCCGCACCAAGCCAATGGTGCGCGTCGTCAGCCCGGTCCGGCCCGTCCCTGCTCCCCGCACCAAACCAGTGGTGCGCTTCGTCAGCCCGGTTCGGCCCGTCCCTGCTCCCCGCACCAAGCCAGTGGTGCGCTTCGTCAGCCCGGTTCGGCCCGTCCCTGCTCCCCACACCAAGCCAATGGTGCGCGTCGTCAGCCCGGTCCGGCCTGTTCCTGCTCCCCGCACCAAACCAGTGGTGCGCTTCGTCAGCCCGGTTCGGCCCGTCCCTGCTCCCCGCACCAAGCCAATGGTGCGCGTCGTCAGCCCGGTCCGGCCCGTCCCTGCTCCCCGCACCAAGCCTGTGGTGCGCGTCGTCAGTCCGGCACAGCCCGTGCCTGTTCCACCGGTGCCTGGTCCGGCACCGGTCAGCTGCTCCACTCCGGAGCTAGAGCAATCCGCTCCACCAGTGTTCAGTCCAGCTCCGGCCAGCAGGGCCAGACCGGACCAGGGGCGCTTTGGGGGGTAAGAGAGGGAGTGGGGGTCATGCCCGGAGCCGGAACCGCCTCCGAGGAGGAATGCCCACCCGGCCCTTCCCTGTTCGGTTTATGTTTGGCGCGGTCGCAGTCCGCGCCTTTGGGGGGGGGGGGGTACTGTCACGCCCTGGCTCTGGGACTCTGTTATGTTGAGCCAGGGTGTGTGGTTTCTATGTGTTTTGTGTGCTAGGGTTATTATCTAGTTATTTTGTTTCTATGTTGGCCGGTGTGGTTCTCAATCAGAGGCAACGTGTATCAGCTGTTGCTTGTTGTCTCTGATTGGGAACCATACTTAGGCAGCCGTTTGGGCATTGTCATTTGTGGGATCTTGTTCCGTATTGGTTTTGTGTAGTGTAACCAAGGACGTCACGTGATCGTTTGTTGTTTTGTTCGTGTGGTGACTCAAATAAATGAAGTATGTTCACATTCCACGCTGCGCATTGGTCCACTTCCTCCGACGATCGTGACACTAGCTCTGAGACCAACTCCATCTTCACCCTCCTTTCCAAAAGCCTCTGTACCTGTAATAAGGACTGTTTGCCAGCGTTTCTAATTCTGAGCCACATTCTAAACATCATAGTAGAGCCTGGTTCCGAATGGGTTGTTGCATAATTCCAGTCCTGGGAGGGTCCTTCCCCTTTCACGTGCAGAGTGGCACAGTATTAACCCTAACCCTACCCAGGTGAGACCCCAACACTGGAGCCCTGACAGTGGGAGTCAATGGATCTGTCCACACTCAGAGGTGTGTGAAGTGGAGGGGAAAGTCAATGGCCAGGTGTGGGCAGACAGGCCAAAGTCAATAAACTAAACTCTAGATTAAAACTATTGATCCCAGCCCATTTGTAAACAATAAATAAGGGCTGAGGGGAGTGGCGGACAGCTGGGACTATGTTTTCCCTGTGCTGGGGTGTCTGCGCCCCTCCTCCCCTGCCCTAAGAGGGCTGCATCCCCCAATGCCTCGTTCTCATTTTGCCTGTGCCACCCACATTGATTTTCAATTTGTTTCTCCTCGGCTGTGGATCATCAGCTCCCTGGCCAGGAAAGGCTGATGGATGGATGGGAGGGGGGGGGGGGGGTCTCTGTGTTCAGAAGGGCTGTGAGGAGGGGGGCAGGCATGCATGCATTCCCTGTACAAATGGTGTTTTGATAAAAAAAAATCACTTGTAAGTCGATAGTTTTTTATTAAACTGTGCACAAACCTGATTGATGAAGATAGGTGGTTGGCAGAGTATGTGGAGGAGAACCTTTTTGTGTGTGTATGTGTGTGACATTAAGGTTTGAAAAGGCACAGCAGACTTTAACAGTCATAAAACAGTTTTATGGTTTTAAGAATATCAACAACAAAAATATCCAATGCTATTGATACTTTCACTATATATACAGTACATTATACAATGTTCCTTAGCTGGTAAACACTCTTAAAACTGCCACCATGTTTTCTTCTCTACTGAGCTAATGCTCATCGCGAAATAAAACTTGATGTGATTTAATAACTGCTATAACTGAGGGATTCAGTTTAATTAGTCGATGTTTGAGCGAGACCCTCCATTTAGTCCGTACCCCCTCTCCCTCCGCTAACCCCCCTTCCTCCCCCAACATAACATGGACAGGTCTGTCCCTAATCGCTGGTCACCCGGGCTAGTTGGAGAAGGGACAGCTCCATCCCATTAAATGAGGATTGCTCTGGCAGTGAAGATGAATGGTCTCTTCAGGGAGAGATCTCTCTTGCCAGGCAGAGGGAGGGTGTAGAGCGGGTCGTCATGCCCGAGACCCTCTGGGTGCCGCCAGATTTTTCTTCGTCCCCGAGTCGCAGCCAGCGCGGAGGCAGACAGCAGCAGTACTGCTTAATACCTTTTTAATTGTTTTAATTTTCTTTATTGATCTCAGGGTTTGATTAATCAGATCAGTGAAGCAGTCAAAATTGTCAGGCCATGTCAGGGATGATTGGGTGCTAAAGTGTGTATATATGTGTGTGTACTGTGTACATGTTATTGCAGTAAGACTGTGTTTCTGTGTAGAAAACTGAGTTGAGCATAATATAATTGCTTGAAAAAGGGAGAATTGAGGGCTGGGTGTGTGTGTGACAGTGTGTGTGACAGTGTGTGCGTGTGACAGTGTGCGTGTGACAGTGTGTGTGTGTGACAGTGTGTGTGGAAGGAGACTAGAACTACTGAAGATTGGGATGGTTAATGATGATAATGACGTAAATACTATGGAATCAGATCATGTTGGATTACACTCCCTGCTGACCCGGACATTAAGTTGTTTCTTTATCTTTATTCTTTAAGTTATTATGACTGTATTTTACCAGTGAAGTCTGACCAGCATGCTCTAGCTGCATGTCTCGAGCATGTTGAAGTAAATAAAGCTGTTTCGCAAGAAATTATGACATTGAAACTTGAAACTTGGCATGGATTCAAACTATAAGTGAAAACTGTGCAAGGTATTTCTTGAAGGTTGCAATATTGGAAAATCAGACGTACTATATTCACTACCTCAAAAAAATCAGACTACCTGTACTGTACTAGCTAATGTACATCATCAAATTGCAAACTTAAATCAAACTCTATACTATCATCAATGCAGCAAACTGCCATTCTCAGCAATTGTTTTAACGGAGCTTGAATTGTATTCTTTGTCCTTACAGGCCCTGGGAAGCATGTACTTCATCCATAAGTCATTGAAAAACATCTACCAATATGATTTTAATGGTAAGGACATTACAATCATATCTGTATGACATCATTATTCACTTTGAATAACAAAAGATGAATGACATTTTGTTATCACCTTATGATGAATCACTTCCATTCAGGCCCTGCACATGGCGATAATTTCAGAACATCTGCATCAGTCCTGGTGTGCAAACTTGGCCCTTTGTAATATATCATGATTATAATATAATTAGAGTTTGGCACAAAAGAGTTTAGGAGGAAGTAAGAGCAATTTTGTATGTCAGTCTGGCGATTCCTCGCTGTATTTTTATACAACGTGTCTGATCATCTTTTGAATGCCGCCGGGTGATGGCCACCTCTTTTGGCCCAGACATATCAGGGAATCTGAATTGAAAGTGAGATGTGTTATTTTCTTGTTGCATAGTCCAGTCACGAAAAAGCTCTTCAGAAAAGGCTTATGGAAGAGCCATAAACATCCCAGGCCTGCCATGTTCTGTGTCGCCAGTCAGATCAGTGCACAGCGACCAAACACTGCCTAATGGCCTGATTATAGGTTCTCTGATCACATATGATGCTGTTATGAGCTGGACATCACTTTACTGATTTGTGTTTGCATGTTTTCTCACTCTTTTACCCTTCCACACCTCTCTCCCTCTCACAGTTAAGGATTTTAAAGCAGTGTCTGGACAGAACAAGTATGTAGGCTCTCTGGATGAGGTAACCACAGTGGAGAAAGAAAAATTCCTGAAGAATTTCTGGCCCGATGTAAGTGTGTGGGCTGGGAGGTGTTGGGACAAATGGGTCTATAGGGGCTGAAGGGGGAGTCTGCCCAATCTGACAGGGATATGAGACAAATTGTATTGAATTATCAATAATTACCAGAATGGCCCTCCAATGAGTTAGTTAAATGGTGCTATTTGTTGAACATTTCACATACAAACATTCATAGGTATAGCTTCTGTTGTGTGATATGTTTTGCAGTTCAAATGGTCTAGGAAGGGCTTTATGAGGACCCGGTGGATCATTCACAACCAGTACGTGCTCTACTCTACTCTACATTACTCTACTCTACTGTCTACTATCACAGCTCATCAATAGACAGGGACCCACAGAGAGTGAGGCTGCTCAAACAGTCACAGCCAACTGTCAGCCCATTGCTCATTGCTACTGCAGTGTTTGAAGCTGAAGCTCAGCAAACACCATCGGTTTCCTCTGCACAATAGTTACTATTTGCCCTCCTGTGTCACTACCACTCGGTCTTAGACAAAAGGAGTTCATGGGCAGAGTGCTACAAGGTCACCCTGTAAGTAAACACAGCCTGCCTGTTGGATGCACATTAATTGTGTTGAGGTGGCAGCAGCAGAAAAGGAGTGAATGCTTGGCACAGGAGACAAATGTGTCTGTTTGTGGACTAGCATTACCCCGAGTGCACTCACTAATAAGTAAGCTCTTCGTAACTACCACTGAACAGTTCACACACATACACACGTCTAGATTTGATAGAAGGCAAGAACAAATATCTTCCCAATTGTTTTCATAGATCCGCCTGCCACTTCTCACTTTGTGTGTGTGTGTGTGTGTGTGTGTGCTCTCGGCAGGGGTCTGGACCTAGTCAACGTACACCTCTTCCATGATGCCTCCAACCTCATTGCCTGTAACGCCAGTCCCTCCATTTACTCAGACAACCGCCAAAAGGCCCTCAGATATGTCATCAACAGGTAAGCCTGTCCATTCTCAGCTTTGGAGAACAATCAAGTGCAACTACTTGAGAGATATAAGGCTTTTGCAATGAGACAACTTCGATTAATACAGCTGTCATTTCCTTCCAGGATATCAGACAGCAGCTACACCCCACTCCCTTTCTTCTTGTTTGGGGATTTCAACTTCCGCCTGGACACCCTTAGCCTGGTCCAGGTATTACATGGCCCACTTCCTTAAGAATTTAATGAGAATCAGAAATCAGGAAACTTTACTAATGGTCAGCTGACTATTGAGTTTTTGTTGACCTAACTGTGTGTGTGTTCCAGAACTTGTCCACTTCAGCAGAGGTGCAGACAGTGAAGAAGGACAGCAGTAATGAGGTGGAAAAAATTATCTGTGAGGAAAAGGACAATGACCACAATGTGAGTCTCCCCATCCATCCACCTCTTCCATCCTACTGTCTCCCTGTTGTTATTCAGATTCAGACGTTTACTGTATCCCCTCTTCCTTCATCTCAAGGTTCTTCTCCATATTGAGACCAAGATATTTGCCTACCTGCACCAAGCAGTGTTCACAGAGGACAACGGCAGAGCGGTGAGAACATTATCTACTGTATACATCAACCCCACCCATATTAATCTCATGGTCTACCGCTCGCTGCCTTGACAGCAATCATTTATGCCTTGGCGCCGATAAAGGCAGCCCCCCCCCCCCCCCCCCCCCCCCCCCCCGAGGTGTTTCGGTTGAATGCATTCAGTTGTGCAACTGACTAGGTATCCCCCTTCCCTTTCTCTTCCCTACCAGTTCTAATCAGAAAACAACCACAGAAGATACTTCATTAAAGGGGGGCTGAACTTCCTGATTTGGCCCCATTTTTCGGGTTGGTCATTAAGAAATGCAGCGGCCATGACTGAAGCCAAACGAGAGTTGTCTTGTGGCGGTTGTATAATGTGGGTGTCTTGTGTGTGTGTGTGTGTGTTCGCACATGGCAAGCGTTTGTACATTCACTCTGCCAAAACAGTACACAGTTAGTCACTCACCCTTTTAGATAACTTGAAACAGTCTAACCAGGTCTTGTCTTGAAGTCGCCTAGGCTAGCTAATGCTAGCCAACTTCTTTCTCCAATTAGCTTCAGCTGGCTGGTGTGCAACCGTGGCAAAGTTGGTTTGACATTGGGTAGCCTATCTCTAGGGCTAGTTGGGAACCATCAATAAATTACACAATGTTACACAGTATTCATGTTGCACATCTTCTAGTTGTCTCATCAAATGCTTTCAATATTTGTATATTAATTTTAGTTGGTGTGAGGTTTTTAAGTCATTGACCTAAAAAAAATATTGTCCAATGTACTGTACATTGTGTAATTTACTGATGGTCCCTAACTAGCCCGATATGGATATCGAATGTCAAACCAAATTGACAATGGGCATTACGATTGGGTCGGGTGCAGCTGCTGTGGGCATGTGGGCATGAATGAAATAAACCCAACCTAAGGAAAACTGTTACGGTACACTTCATGCTGAGGAGTATTTCTGTCTGTAGTAAAGCCATTTTGTGGGGAAAACTAATTCTGTTTGGCTGGGCCTGGCCCACCAGTGGGCACCCCTGCCCAGTCATGTGAAATCCATAGCTTCTTGTTCCGTAATGGGGAATTCGAGGTGACATTTAATATTCACATTATGCCTGATGAATTTAGATCAATTTACTGATTTCCTTATATGAACTGTAACTCAGTAAAATTGTTGAAATTGTTGCATGTTGCGTTTATATTTTTGTTCCGTAATGGTGAATTCGAGGTGAAATTTAATATTCACATTATGCCTGATGAATTTAGATCAATTGACTGATTTCCTTATATGAACTGTAACTCAGTAAAATTGTTGAAATTGTTGCATGTTGCGTTTATATTTTTGTTCCGTAATGGTGAATTCGAGGTGAAATTTTATATTCACATAATGCAGATCTTTATGGTTTGCAGATGCCATGTTTTCAGACCTCCAGTAATTGTTAATCCTTCTATATCCCTCAGATTTTGAAGTATGACAAGGAGATCGCAGCCTTTCAAGATGTCATTACAGAGGAAAACATCCTGTTTCCACCCAGGTAAGCCTCATCCCTGGCAGCCCAGTCACTATTACGATCACTGTTACTATGCCTGAGGAGTGTTACTGCTGACTCTAACTGCCATGCTGTGTGTCTGTCTGTCAGTTACCCATACAGTGAGGACTACACTAAACCCACCCAGTACATGAACACTCGCTGCCCCTCCTGGTGTGACCGCATTCTCATGTCTCACACTGCCCAAGACATCATCCACAGGGTGAGTCACTTGGCAACACTCCGCCATCCACACTTCATGGATTCATTTATGTATTTAACATAGAGGCATGTTCTACAGGCCTATTAAACAGCTGTGTGTTTCATTTCAGAGAGATGAGGGAGAGAGCAGTGTGGTTTATAACACAATGGGCCCTAATGTCTGCATGGGAGACCACAAGGTAACGTTTGTTTATATAATGTAACATGTCTGGTCTTGAAAATGGCCCTTGATAAACAGGAGGAAACTTATGTACCATTGTGTATTCCTCCTTTTTCCCCAGCCTGTTTTCTTGTCCTTTGCACTGAAGACGAATGGCCATTGACAAGGATCCCTCTCTATGGTAAGAGTATATGTGCTAGTGAGTGTGTAGTAGATGTTCTGTAGGTGTACAGGACCATATCCAGGGGGTCACTCTGAAAGAGCGATCACAGGCCATAATCTTTTCCAGCTCCTGGGCCTTATTCCCCAGAGAGCCATAGGCCAGGCTGGCCCAGTGGAGTGCTGTGGGGATGAACTAAGATGAAGTGCCTCTGTGGACAAACTGTCTCCTTTGTGCATAATGTAGCTTAATGTCATTTCTGTTGATCTATGTCTATAGAATGTTCTCTACTGTCACTGTGTGTAGCTACATCAAGCCCAATGTGGGACCTCTGTTAATTCATTACCAGACAGATCGCCGGCCAGAGAGACATGCATCATGCAGGGCAGTGTATTGGCATTTTTATGGCCGTGATTTTGTTTTGCTGCCATTTATATGACTTTTTCATAGGATGGTTCTCTACTTTATGAGGATTCCTCTTCAGGAGGCTCGAACGGTGATGAAAGCCATTTCAGAAAGGAAACACCATTATGTTTAACCATTTATTAAAGAATGAATAATGCAAGTTTTGGCGATATGGGCTCTGCTAAATCAGGGTAGCTCACAGCCCAAGCAAAGCATCAATATATCATATGACATGCAAGCAGTGAGCGCGGTAAACTATACCAATCCCCCAGCAGGAAAACAGAACCTAACAGGAGGAGGCTGGGGTGGTGGTGGGAGCAAACGCATACTAACAGTAGCAGCAAGCGGCATTAAGATGTTTGAGCAGAACCGGTCAGCTTAAATGGACCGCCAAATAAGATAAGCGGGATTGTAACAAGCATCTAGTTGGTGCAATCTCAGCTGACACAGGTTCCCTTTCTGAACTGGCTTCGCTTTATGCATCGGAAGGACTTAGGGCTGTCAATTAGCTTTTCAATGAGAGGGACAGCATTCCAAAGCAAATACAGTGGCTTGCGAAAGTATTCACCCCCCTTGGCATTTTTTAAAATGTTTTGCCTTACAACCTGGAATTAAAATGGATTTTTGGGGGTTTGTATCATTTGATTTACACAACATGCCTACCACTTTGAAGATGCAAAAAAAATAATGTGTGAAACAAACAAGAAATAAGACAAATAATCAGAAAACTTGAGCGTGCATAACTATTCACCCCCCCCAAAGTCAATACTTTGTAGAGCCACCTTTTGCAGCAATTACTGCTGCAAGTCTCTTGGGGTATGTCTCTATAAGCTTGGCACATCTAGCCACTGGGATTTTTGCCCATTCTTCAAGGCAAAACTGCTCCAGCTCCTTCAAGTTGGATGGGTTCCGCTGGTGTACAGCAATCTTTAAGTTATACCACAGATTCTCAATTGGATTGAGGTCTGGGCTTTGACTAGGCCATTCCAAGACATTTAAATGTTTCCCCTTAAACCACTCGAGTGTTGCTTTAGCAGAATGCTTAGGGTCATTGTCCTGCTGGAAGGTGAACCTGCGTCCCAGTCTCAAATATCTGGAAGACTGAAACAGGTTTCCCTCAAGAATTTCCCTGTATTTAGCGCCATCCATCATTCCTTCAATTCTGACCAGTTTCCCAGTCCCTGCCGATGAAAAACATCCCCACAGCATGATGCTGCCACCACCATGCTTCACTGTGGGGATGGTGTTCTTGGGGTGATGAGAGGTGTTGGGTTTGTGCCAGACATAGCGTTTTCCTTGATGGCCAAAAAGCTCTATTTTAGTCTCATCTGACCAGAGTACCTTCTTTCATATGTTTGGGGAGTCTCCCACATGCCTTTTGGCAAACACCAAACGTGTTTGCTTATTTTTTTCTTTAAGCAATGGCTTTTTTCTGGCCACTCTTCCGTAAAGCCCAGCTCTGTGGAGTATATGGCTTAAAGTGGTCCTATGGACAGATACTCCAATCTCCGCTGTGGAGCTTTGCAGCTCCTTCAGGGTTATCTTTGGTCTCTTTGTTGCCTCTCTGATTAATGCCCTCCTTGCCTGGTCCGTGAGTTTTGGTGGGCGGCCCTCTCTTGGCAGGTTTGTTGTGGGGCCATATACTTTCCATTTTTTTATAATGGATTTAATGGTGCTCCGTGGGATGTTCAAAGTTTCTGATATTTTTTTATAACCCAACCCTGATCTGTACTTCTCCACAACTTTGTCCCTGACCTATTTGGAGAGCTCCTTGGTCGTCATGGTGCCGCTTGCTTAGTGGTGTTGCAGACTCTGGGGCCTTTCAGAACATGTGTATATATACTGAGATCATGTGACAGATCATGTGACACTTAGATTGCACACAGGTGGACTTTATTTAACAAATTATGTGACTTCTGAAGGTAATTGGTTGCACCAGATCTTATTTAGGGGCTTCATAGCAAAGGGGGTGAATACATATGCACGCACCACTTTTCCGTTATTATTATTATTATTTTTACTATTTTTCATTTCACTTCACCAATTTGGACTATTTTGTGTATGTCCATTACATTAAATCCAAATAAAAATCCATTTAAATTACAGGTTGTAATGCAACAAAATAGGAAAAACGCCAAGGGGGATGAATAATTTTGCAAGGCACTGTAGTATGTTATTCTCTGGTCTGCCATGCCTGTCCTGGTTCCATCGATGAATCCAGTAGGATTTCACTCAATTTAGACTTTTATGTTAAAAAAATTTATAACTCCTTTACCAATCCTATATCATTCATTTACACATTGAAAGAACAGATTATTTATATAAATCATGTTTTCCTTGTAGATGGTGAAGAGAGTATAAACTTTTCTCCCTTTAGGTAAGCCACTGGTCCCACTGGCCATCACCATCACACTCCCACTCCACTATCCGTATCAGAGGATAAACAGAACAGCTCCTAGCCAGTCACGGGACCCAGCCTCTCCCTGATGTGCATGCAGTCAGTCAATATCCACCCAACCAGGTCTCTCACGTTCTCTTCTCCTCTCACTCCAAGTTATTGATTGCCATGGCTTGGGTGACATCACCACAGATTTGATCATCAGCCTTATGGATTTTTTGGACGGACAATTTACTCTGTCATGTACTGGGCCATATATCTTAAGTCGTCTGACGCCAAAACATACACAGATACGCAGGGGTATTTTCTGGGAGTCCTACCTTCAGTGATGGACCATTGGAACCAGAGTATGTGTGGCAGATTGCTAGATAGAATATGACCAACGTAAAGACAATATGTGACTGTGGGACTGCTGATGTTCAGGCCATGGTCTTGTCATGGAGGGCACAAGTGGGATTAAGGAGACGTGAGGACACACACACTGGCATCTTGCCAAGTAAATACCCTAACTTCAGTTGATCAAATGGTTTTCAAGTGTCAAAGGTTTACGATTAAGTATTGACCTTCCCTGAATGGAATATGCATGCATGCTTTTCCGTTGTCTTTTATTTTACCTATTTATTTTCTAACTGTTTTAACTGTTTATTATCAATATAAGTTTGCTAAAAGCAAATATTCAGAAACACAATAAACAAAAGCTGCTACAGTATTTCAATGCACCGTCAGCATGTTTGGCCAGCTTGCGTCCCTCGTCAGAATAGAGCAGTAGCATAATACACATTTCTCTGTGCAATCTCATGTTGTGTTTTCTTTTGTTAAAAAAACATACATTTCACCAGTACATACAGTGCCTTCAGAAAGTATTTATACCCCTTGACGTATTCCACCTTTTGTTGTGTTACAGCCTAATTCCAAAAATTGATTAAATAAAATAATATCTCACCCATCTACACACAATACCCCATGATGACAAAGTGAAACATGCTTTTATACATTTTAGCAAATTGATTGAAAATGACAGAAAGATCTAATTTACATAAGTATTCACACCCCTAAGTCAATACTTTGTAGAAGCGATTACAGCTGAGTCTTTCTGGTTAAGTCTCTAAGAGCTTTGCACACCTGGATTGTACAATATTTGCCCATTATACTTCTTAAAATTCTTCAAGCTTTGCCCCAAACATAACGCTTTGTATTCAGACAAAGTTAATTTCTTTGCCACGTGTTTTGCAGTTTTACTTAAGTGCCTTGTTGCAAACAGGATGCATGTTTTGGAATATTTTTTTATTCTGTACAGGCTTCCTTCTTTTCACACTGTCATTTAGGTTAGTATTATGGAGTGACTATAATGTTGTTGATCCATCCTCATTTTTCTCAAATCACAACCATTAAACTCTGTAACTGTTTTAAAGTCACCATTGGCCTCATGATGAAATCCCTGAGCAGTTTCCTTCCTCTCCTGCAACTGAGTTAGGAAGGACGCCTGTATCTTTTTAGTGACTGTGTATTAATACATCATCAAAAGCCTAATTAATAACTTCACCATACTCAAAGGGATATTCATCAGCATCTGCTTTTTATTTATTTTTATTTAGTCTTGCCATAACAAAGGGGTTGAATACTTATTGACTTAAGACATTTCAGCTTTACATTTTTTATTCATTTAAAAAAAGATCTTCAAACAAAATTCCACTTTGACATGACATTATGTGGTATTGTGTGTACATCAGTGACACAAAATCTAAATGTAATCTATTTTTAATTCAGGCTCTAACAACAAAATGTGGAAAAAGTAAAGGGGTGTGAATACTTTCTGAAGGCACTGTACGTACATACTATCCCAGCTCATCCCTCGAACAGTCTACTTAAAGAAAATGCTTCATTTGCCCCCTAATGCCACGCTGAGGGCTTTTTTCCTAACCTCCTCCCGTCGCTATGGTGTGGTTATAACTCAGCTTAAATCAATAAAATAATGTAAAAGACCAGTGGGGCCAGATTCAGGCTCGGAGCCCATCCGGTCAGTATGAAATATGGAAATGCCCTCCCTTCCCATCGGACCTCTACCTTGGATTCTCTCAGACTCTAAAGTATAACATCTACATGCTGCTGAATACTGATTATCACTGAGCTCTGCCTGCCTGCTACTCCACTCTGCTGGGTATACTCTCTGGTGGGTTGTACATTGACATATTATGGGGTGTGCCCATGTAATGGACAAACCAATTATGGTTCAACTGTAAGGTTAGTCCCTACTCTACCGGACACCAGAGCAGACATGGGTGGCTAATGTCTATTGCAGCTTCTGTGAATACTCAATTAATTGGAACAATTGAAAATGTTTGACATCAGACAAGACGCCAAGCTTGGCAGATCAGTCACTGATATGATTTGATTTTGCTGCTCCCTTAAGTCAGGACACCATGATAGCTGGCAGTTATGTAGTCTGTTTTCATTTCTGATGTGTATTGACTGTGGTAGGCAGCTACGTTGTTACCATGAAGTGCTTTATTCCACAAACTATGGGCTAGTCCTTTGAAGTAGCTCCTCAGAATTGAGGAGTATGCTAATAGAGATTCCTCTTGTTCAGGGGAACTGACTGAATGTTATTCTGTTTTTAATTATGCATTTTAACATTCTGTCATAAAGAGCACATGTTCAACCTAATAAAAAACAAGTTTTCCCATCTCAAGAGGTTAAATAAAAAAATGACTATAGAAAGTGCCTATTAGTAACAGGATTGACGATTTAATCTTAAATCAGCCACAAATCCCCTTGTGACAGGAGTGGCAATTGAATGCAGGCTTCACCCAAAAAAATGGTATTGTTAAAAAATTTCTAGCCTGTCTGTATGGGTAACAAGGTTGACGTGTTGTTCTCGACCCACTCAGTTCTCCACCACAAAACACCAGAAAATGGCCAAAAAGAGTAGAACCAGCACACCTGCTCTTACACTATGTGATGTTCAATGTTTCTTTTGGAAAAAATATTTTTTTAAAGGAATAGTTGAACCATATTAAATGAAGAGTTCAGCTCACGTACCAGGGTTGACCTTAAAATGAGGGACAGACGTAAATTAATCACTAATCACATGAAATAAATAATTATCTTCAGAAATGACTTTGTCAAAGCAACAAAATAACTAGGGCTTTACAATGATGGTGAAAACTTTGAGAAATGTTTGGGTTAAGTGGGGTACATGGAGGGACATTTAGAGTCTTTATTACATTTAAGTCATTTAGTAGACGCGATTATCCATATAAAAAATCTGATTTATTGAATTATCCGTGTGGTCTGTATTAAAGGACACTTAATTTAATATAACAGGCTTTTAAAATTCAATATTGGTGCATAATTTATTCTTAAAATATCAAAGGGACGCAAAAGGCACTCATTTCGTAGAACGATCCATCTATTGTTTTACAAGGCATCATCTGCTGGACTGTTTCAGTTACTGTGATCAGTTTAACTTCTGCCAAAACAACTATAACTTGTTTACCATACCATTCTTTTAAATGAATGTGTCTAGAATGGATGTCTGATACCACAGCCACACACAAAACACATGCAAGCACGCACATGCACACCCAGGCACATGCTCACACACACATACACACGCAAAGTTCACAACATTTTAAGCTTGAAGCCACCGTATTATTTTGGTTGCAGTTATTTTATTGATTATATCTATTTTTTATGTTTTATGTTGATTTGTGCTGTAGCAACCTCTTCTGATCTTTGTTCATTGTCCATCCTCTGTATTTTGTATGAAATGGTTGGCTGGTTTGCATAATTTTGTTTTATTATGGACTAATTCAAAGAAGTTTAAAATATAATCATGGTTTTCATATTCTTTAATAGTTATATGTGTTATTCAGAGTGCACTTAAATGATCAATGCATATTAATGACTTTTTTATTTTACTGTTATACTCCCTATGTTTTGAGGTTGAAAGTGCATCATTTGTAATCAATCTTCCTCTGTAGTATGTGTTGACTGACTTACACTCAATTTGCTGTGAAGTAATTGTAGACTGATATGACCAGGATTCATTAGTTCAAATGTATAGGTAATCCTTTTAATCTGGACCCTCTCAAATTTCCTTACATTTGTTTACAATTAATAATTGATGTGTCTGCGTGGAAAGTGCAAGGCCCACCTGTCAATAATATATTTGTAGTAGTTGATTCATGGTATGGTCAACATATTCTAATAATGCCCTCCAGGAAATGCTGTTGGTTTGGAGTTCAACATGAGGCCAGTAGTATTGTTCGATGGAGTGGACTAATGTTGTTTGTCATTTCTGGTCGAACACAAACAAACACTACATTCTTGTGATGCTTCCAGTTTTGTAAATAAATGTTGACCACTGCAATTACATTACCGTATAACTCTCCCTTAATGAGATTCTACCTTGTAAAATCAATGTCAATGTTATTGCTACCAACTTGTTTCTTCTCAGTTGGCATTCTAGTTGCAATTTATCTCAGAGTTGTGCAAGTGTTTTTCTTTTGGAAGGTAACTCTGATCACTATTGGGCTTTCTCTTTCAGTCACACCAGTGCTCTGCATAACACTAACATTGCCATGTGATTTCAAATAAAGCTAATTATGTATGGTTTCACTACAATGTTTATTGACACCACCGGATGCAGCTCAATTGTAACATACCATAGACGACATACCACACCTTTTAATGTAGGCCTAATTTATGAAACGAGAATGCCTGGAATCTCCAATGCTTGTGGTGGAGTGTCCTTAAACAGTTCCCATCAACTGGGTTAAGATGGGTTGTACTTGTTGTCAGGGAGGAACACACACAGATCACTGCAAGTTGTTTTGGAGAGGTCATGCTGAAATAGGTAAACTTTTATTTTATTTGACACATGCTAAATGTCTAACTTTCACTTTGAAAATTATAGCCATGTTATTTATTCACATTCTATGGTTTGAGAATTCAGCCCAGTCTGAGACATGCCTCTTTGGTTGGAGAGAGAAAAAGTGAGCCTGCATATTGATAGGACTTTGTGTGAAATAGATGGGATATTAAACGTGCCCTCTCAAGGTGGAATGGGCTGGCTATTTCGGACAGTCAGAACTGGCCAAGTTGTTTCGATCGATACCCTTTTAAGGCTCAAGTAAGAAAAAGCCAACTGAAAGTGTGAGTTGCTCTGCATCCGATCCTTACCATTATTGCATTTTGGAAGACAAATGTTGATCCAATACCGTTGCCTTAGATTTATCAAGGGCTAGGCAAAATAATCAGCAGAAAAAGTACAGTTGCAGTGAGCAACAAAAACAATGGAAATGGCCTGTCCTGGCCTAGATGCTGAATGATTTTAGTAAAGGAGATCACATGAATATGCATGTCTCATTTATGAAGAACTTATGCAGTTTCACAGAACTGGGATATTCTCAGAAATCAGTTTTTTCATTTTCACTTTCATATGAAGCTGCACCAGAACGGCCTAAGGTGTTCTGAGAGTTTCCTAGATTCAGTGATACAGCACAGGTTTCGTTTCCCAACCATACCAAGACTGATATCAATGTTGCTCTTCAGCTATTCTCATAGCTGCGTTTCCCAGCCTTTACCACTGCCTTTTCTCTCCTGTTTTATAGAACTTTTAGTAGTAGAAATGTATCTGGTACAGTATATTCATCTGGGAATATTCTCAAAGTTTGTAGTCTGTATCGTGCTGCTGTTAACATATCCTCTCTATCTGGTGATGTAGACAGTGCTTGAACTGAAGAGCGACCTCACTCTTGACGTTAACATCTTGTTAGTCTCAGAAATCCCAGACCTGGAACATTGTTCACATTGTGGGAGGCAACCCGTCTGCCTAGGGAGACTAGTATCTTGTTGATGTTTTACTATCAACAATAGCATAATTGTTTCAACAGTAATCAAGCACAATGCAGGTTTTTCCCTGGTGCTGGGCACACCCTCACATACTCCCTTAGCATCTGTCCTAATGGCAAACAGCACTGAGCTGCAGGGGCCAGGGGTGAGAGATATTCAATTAGTGAATGAAATAGAATAGTAGCATTGATTTTGTGATGGCGTGGATAGGTCGGATGGCTTTGTCTTCTACACAGAACAGTTCAGCCAGTCCAATCCCAGCACCCTGGTAACTACATAGATCACATTGGGATTGGCCTTTGACCCCTCACTTCTACTCAATGATTGTGCCTTTCCTACCGCCCATCTGTCTTAGCTGTCACTTGTAATGTATCAACAACTCTATTGCTGATATAGACTTCAATGCCTGTTTAGATTTCAGACACAACACAGTATAAGTTGTTTGTTTGGGGATTGTTGTCTTTTATATGAAAACAATTACTGAAAAACCAAGGCATGACAAAATCATTGCACCATTGTATTCAATAAATAATTCACAATAATTTATTGTACAATTAGAAAGGGAATCATTAATTTACATTATCCTTATGCAACTTCATTTGGATGCGCAGAAACCCTCAAATGTCATGAAAGCTTGCATGTCTGCATGACATTAGCAACACATTAGTCGAAATAAAAGGTCAAGACTTATCTTGATATGTGTGCCCTCAACGCCAGTGTTAAATAAAACAGCATTGCCAGGCTCTCAATTAAATTAATCAAAGTTAATAATATAAATATTCTGTGTTCATAGTACAGCAGTTGACTGTGAAACAAGTTCAAATGGACATTGAATGTTAAGAGTACAACAAGCAAATTAATTTGATGAACTAAAATAAAAAGTCCTTGACCTGACGGTTTTATTCTATTCAAATCAAACAGGTACTGTCAACTGCATTATCCATGGTTTACATATCATCTATTCAGCTTTGGTCTGCTATAGTGTGTATGTACACATGATAAACTATTTCCTTTCACGTTTAATGCAACCATCAAAATTCCCCGATAGTGTAGCTGAGGATAATAGATCATGATGGGTTTCCTACATAACAGTTAACCATTTGCCTCATTGAAACTCATTGATGAGTTCTATTTTCAATTTAAAGTGTTTCACCCATCATTTCATGGTAACATCTTCCCTCTGTTTCCATTATGGTTACAAATACTGTACGTCAAGGCATCACTTCATGTGAACCATTACCCTTTTTTCTCCTTAAACTTACTGTATTATAAATGTGACATTTTTTTAACATGCTTGAATATTTAGTTGTTGGTCTGTACTACAAAATTTGTTTAACCCTACCTCTTGCTACAACATGCACATCTGATGTGTGCGTGTGTGTCTGTGCCTGTGTGTGCGTGGGAGCTTTTGTGTGTATGTGTCAGACGTGGTGTGGTCCAAGGCGGAGTACAGAGAAAGCCCGGCGGTGTTTCCGCAGCAGCAGTCGTATCTTCTCGTCGTCTGACTCGGGATCCAGAGGCTTGTTGTACTCCTCATCCTCCACCTCGTTCTCCGAGGCCTCCCCTCCCTGCTCGCCCTGCGTGGCTTGGGTGGAGCTGGGCTCTGAGGCACTCTTCTTCCTCCACTTGGTGCGGCGGTTCTGGAACCACACCTGATGAAATAATTTCTTTACTTAGTGGGATTAACCATCTTACATTCAATTATACAATACTGTAATCCTTTTTACTAAATGAATTCAGATGAAGTGTATAGTCAGTGCATGCTTGTAGATCTGTCTATATGGGGACTTTTGTTTTACCTTGACTTGTGACTCTGTCATGCCCAGGGAGTAGGCCAGTCTAGCTCTCTCTGGCCCGGCCAAGTACTTGGTCCGCTCAAAGGTTTTCTCCAGGGCAAATATCTGATGTCCACTGAATGTAGGTCTGGTGTGCTTCTTCCTGCCTGAAATATCCTCTAGATGCCCAATGTCTGGAAATAAAGTATGCATTACAGTTATTTTCAATTTAAGTCACTTGGAGACTGCATACAAATAGTGAGGTAAATAATGATGACAAGGTCAATTACATAGACATTTTTTACATATCTGTAAAATATTGGTAGTAGTTAGTCAAATTCTCTTATATTGGAGGAATCAAAATGAATAAACAAATATTACATTTGAGGACATAGATACAACCAATTGTCTTGTATTTTTAGTGGGTTTGTATTACAAAGATGATCCAATATAATATTAGATACAATACATTTCTCAATATTTCATTTTTCACATCTTAAAATGTTTTATGTGACCTATGCAGCATTATCCTTGTAATCAGATTCAAAATATTTGAATGTATGTTAAGTGAATGAGTCAGCCAAATTCTATGTACACTCTATCTTTACTGAAAGACTGAATGGTTAGTGATAACCAGTATTTAAACAATGACACATAAAATGACATTATAGATTACAATAGACTGCAGTACACTCTATTCAAGAATATATTTACACCTTTAACTAACAGAACCTTGATTTAAAAACTTTTATGAGAAATTAAGTTATTCAAATGTTTTAAGATATTTGTTTTTTAATTAAACAGAGTAGTTACAGAGTAATTTACACAAAATATATTAATTTGTTTGAGCTTTGAGAAAAACATGAAAAACAGTCAGTTGGTGTGTGAGTCGTGTGATGTTCAGGTGACTATAGTACGGAGTTACTCACTGTTATTGCACTGCTGCCTCCCTCCTCTCCACTCGTACCCGCTCTCTACCCAGCAGCTGCCACTGCGACCCTTCATGGCGCACTCAGCGCCAGGCTTGGTGAAGCCGCCCAGCGAGGGATTGTAGTCTGCACGGTTGTAGTAGACCCCCGGGGTGGCCACGGTGCCAAAACCCCCCATGGTGGGGTATCCAGACAGCAGGGTGGTAGTGCCCGTAGCGCCCATCATGGAACGGCTGAGGATGTCACTGATGCCGTGGGGTGTGCCTGCTGCCTGCAGCTGGCTGTTCAGGCTTGGGTTAAGCTTGTAGAAGGAGTTGGGCACTGAATACTGACACACAGGTGCCTTTAAGTCCGAGGAGAACTGGTTCAGGCTGTTGTTGAACAGGAAAGACCCCGGTATGTTGGAATCCATGAGAAGTACCTCCACTTCCAGATTTCACCAACTCACCTAACAAGGTACAGTCATGAAAAGACCCAGTGCGGCCCACAAAGGTTCACGTTCACCTCTCTCACCAAGACTGGATGAATACGGATTCGTTGATTGTGTTCTTATTTCTTAATCCAGTCTGTTGATGTTCAAATGATGAACAATGATGCTGATGCCAATGTCCCCTATCTGAGGACTAGATTACTCCAGGTCACTGGTATCTGCAGTGGTGTCTCTCTAGCTGGCTATGACAGCAGAGGGCAGGTGCCAGCATAAAACCTCTTCACTGTCTTCCTTCACCTGCTTTGTGCCATTGTACTGAAGGTGACAGTTCCAAAATCAACATCCGGTGTTGTGCCACCTAAGAAACAGTGTTCACAGTTGCTCCTTAAGACAAATATCTCCTCCCTGCTCTCTCCTCGGGGGTAATAAATAAGCAGTATCTTGAATTGGAGTGGCACCTTGATAAAGAAAGGACACATTAGAATGCTGCCTTGGATTGGTCGGGGTCCCGCAGCTCTTGTGTTTCTATTGGCTTCCGGGTCAAAGCCAAGCCTTCTATTGGAAGGCAGCAGATTAATAGCGTTTTGAACAGGTGGAGTGGGAACAAGTTTATTTTTGATGACCTGCCATGGCTGGCCTTCTGTGGTGCTGAGGCAGAAGCAGCTTCAACACACAGGTTTATACTTCTTCTGTTTTAGTCCATAGTATGCCGTATCAAGGCTAATATGGGAAAGACTGATATTGTGATGGATCAGCTTTATCGTATAACAATAGCTCTGTATCATCTTTACCTTTTTTTGTAAGATATTGTGAACAGTGGTTATTATAAAACGTCTTAGTGCACAATGGAATCATTGGATTTATCTTTTGCTGTAAGTTTAATTATAATGTTGATGCATTCTGTGACTACCCTGTGTCCATTTTATGCATAATCTTTAATGGTGATATGTATCTATTCATACTCATTTGATCAATAGATAAAAATCAATTTGTTTGTCCTTCGTCTATATGGAATGTATTTAATGCTCTATGGAAATATAAATATAAACAGTGAATTGATTAAAAAAAGTATAATAATTTATAAAAATATCGATTATTTAAATTCAACTGTGCATATACATTAAAATCCTTACTGCATGTAGAAGGGTATATTTATTACAGAAAGTAACAAACTAATTATTATTATTATTAATATGCACACATATAGCTCTGATTTATGTAGCTGTCTATATAGGCACATTTAGCAGAAGTCAAATTCATGACACATTCAAAACACTGTTTGCTCTTGCCAGGACAGATGGAAAAGCAAGGGGATAACGCCAAGAGCGTTGCATATTCTTGTGTAATTCTGACGTTTAGAGTTGTCCTGGGGCAATTTAGTGGGAGGGAAGATCTAACATGTGACATGTAGATCACTTTTTTGGTTATGCTTACTCTTTACTGGTTCCTCTTTCTCTTTACTTCCAAAAAATGTGATTTTATAATGTATTGTAAATTATTTGTATCCTGTCACATGATGCTGAACCTGCTGATTCCACAATCTCTAAAGATACAATATGTAACTTTTTGGGTGACCCGACCAAATTCACATAGACCTGTTCCATGTAAGCTATTTCTATGCTTCCCGTTCTTAAATTTGTTTTTTTTGGTCTTTTACTTTCGGTTTTGTACACCAGCTTCAAACACAATCTTTTGGGTTATGGAAAATAAATTTCACAGCGGTTTAGATGGTACAATGATTCTCTACACAATGACTGCTTGTTCTGTCACATAAACTGAAACTAGGCGAACTATTAGAATTTTAGCAACTAGGAATTGGAGGAGCGATTTCTGCATATTGCATCCCTCTAACAGAGGGCAACCAAATGCAAACATTTTTTATACCAAGTTACTGTATTCACTGCTTCTCATATGGTATATTTCAATTAACACAATATGAGCAGTGGGTTTGACCAGCAGTTCGGTTAAATTTTAAGTAGTCTGTTTATAACCACGAAAGGTTGACATGACTGGATCAACTTGCCTTGTTTTGAATGGCATTAGAAAAAACAACCTGAAAATAGGCTTCAGGAGTTACCATTACACATTTTCAGGACAATTTCAAAAACAATGTTTAAAATGGGTTACAGTTGAGCGGTAAGTGATGCCATTAACCTACTTTGCAATCAACTACAAATGTAATCTGTTTCATCAACATTGTTTAAGGTAATTCCATCAAAACGATATTGAGGTAAGCATTTTGTCATTTAGAGAAAGTTCTAGATATTATCCAAATGAAGTTAGATCCATTATTTGTTTGTATGTATGGAAGCCTTAAGATAAATCATCCACTTGTTTAGAGAGAAACATTTTCATTGTTTTTGAGTAAAGTAGTAATATGTTAGGTTAGTATGTTGGGGGCATCGTGCCCCTTTATGGCTGATAATTTGTTTCTAGCTGTAATTTAGGCACTGGCTAGCCCAGTTAGCTCACTAGCAACATCACTAGCAGAAAGTCTGAGGTGAAATAAATGCTAGCCAGCTAGTTAGCATAGCTAGCTAAACCCCAGTTAGCAGGGTTAGGATTAGGGTTAGGGGTCAGAGTTAGAATAGGTGCCAGGGTTAGGATTAAAATAGGGGTTATGGTTAGAATAGGGGTTAGGGTTAAAATATGGGTTAGGGTCAGAATAGGAGTTAGGGTTAGATTAGGGGTCAATTCTCCACCATTCTTAAGATACTTTTACATGTTTTATTTTCAGATGAGAGTTTACAAGAAAATATATGATTGTGGTGGCTATGGCGAAGATGCGCTTCATTGTGCCCTGAATGCTATTGAAATTGGGCAGGGGATTAAGGCAGCTGCCCGTGCTTTTAATGTGCCACCCAAAACCCTGAGGCGCCACTGAGACCAGCAGGCCAAAACCCCTGGCCACAGCCATTTGGGTGGGTTTACCAGTCTTCACTGGCTCTTTCGAATGTGACCTGGTGAGTCATATCCCAAAAATGGAAAGAGCCCTTTTCGGACTTACATCATGGGATGTCCGAAAACTTGCCTTTGACCTGGCGGAGAGGATGGAAATCATAAACACATTCAGTAAAGAAAGGCGGTTGGTTATATTCCAATAAATTAGTTTTTAAAAAATTATAAATATTACAAACTATTGAAAACCATTTGCTCTTGAATTGCATCTTACCCCATGTTACCCCTAAGGCATTTGTGAAAATTCTATAGCAATATAGAGTGGGAAAACGGCCGTGTGTTTGGACAATTAATGGACACTGCAGTAAATAAAACCTAATAAAAACGTCGGTCTTGTCCTGGACCGGTGTCTATGCAGACCAGTGCGCCATAGCCAATCAGATCAACAGTAGGCCTATAATATATTATGCTAATAAACCATTTGCCACATGGGCCTGCCATCATTCACTTTGAACTGGACTGTGTGTTTACAGGCAGTAGCAACAGCGCGACTTTAGATCATTAGAACGCATTCGCCAAAAGCCACGAAATACACGTGAATGGATATCTGCAAATATGTAAATGCCACAAGAGTCCTCTTACAATTGGGAACTTCACAGTCCTTCCTATTGATCAAACAACCATTAAAAGGTAGGCTCTCTCTCTCTCAGTTGCTTATGCACATCAACAACTAATGCTTGCCAGAGCAAGATGAGCTAAAATCTAACGAGGGAACAGTAGATAAACCCTCTAACTTTTTCAGCTAATTGGCCGTCAAAATTCCAATGAGAAACGATGGGGAATATTAGCCTGTTCGTCTTTCTGCAGCTTGCCTGCCAATGTATGCGTGTCCCAACCCACATTTTCACAACAGAATGGGTACTTGCCTGCCAAATACATTTGATTGACAACTAAGAGATATGCTAACTGTGGGTAACAGTTATTCAAGGCAAGCGTAGCTAGCCAGGTCCGTAGTTTTCCGGCTAAATTGGGCTACTTTGAAAACGATGTCGCAGGTGAAAATGTATTGGTCGCTGTTTTTTGGACAACTTTCTAAGATGCACCGCGGCTATGGGGCCAATTTCACTCTGTTTTGAATAAAAAATAATAATAATCGTAAACATGAAAAATAAAGTTGAACATGTAAACATGGATGTTGAAATCAAAAACCAAACAATTGAAAGCAAAATGTATAGAATTGTAAGAAAGAAATTGACATCAAAAGCAAAACCCCAAAACATGCAAGCAAATAATTTTAAAGCGAGAGCAAAACTCTATGACAAATGATTTTTAAAAAAAATGTAAACGAATGCTAAAATATTTTCAGTTAAACTTTCCCAACAACCAATCCTATTGAATCCATTTTGCCTACGCTCTTGCCTGCATTTACTACCTTTTGGTTACGCTACTCATATCTTAGCTTTCGATGTCTGTTTTTTTGCTTTCACTGCCAGTATTTTCGATTGCGAGGTTTGTCATTTTCTTTCTCGTGAAGGGCGAGGTTTAGAGGGAGGCATAGACAATGAGTCTCCATTGGTCCACTAGTTTTGGAGTGACGGTTCATCTTAACCCAATCAATGAACATGATAGACAGGATTTTTTTCTATTGGCTTCTTAACAAGACGGTGTGACGTCAACACTACGCCCCAAATTTGGTGTCAGTCTAGGTAGCCAAATGGAATGAATCGCATGCATGTAACGTTACAGCTAGCCACTGCCAACCGTAGGTATGTTTGCCCAGTGTGAGTGAGAGTGTGTGTGTGTGAGAGAGAGAGAGAGATAAAACAGTGACAACGCTAAATAGCTATTCCCATAACAATACCTGAGGCCTAGACCCAATCTTGCCTGATACCAGCTGGTTGGTTGACATAATTTCAAATTTCAAATTTTCAAATGTCCTCACAGGCAATGGGGAGACACATTATTGAGAAGCTCCTGTACAGATTGCAGCAGGCCATGCAACGCCTTCCTCTGGATCTTGATTACTTACAGTTTGTCTGCACCATTGAGATTATATTTATCAGCTCACTAGCAAATCAGGTAGACTTGCCTCAAGAGGTAGTGCAGGGTCTCTCCAACCTGTATAGTCTAGTCAATGCTGAAATGGAAGAAAGATGTGCCTCATCAATTGTTGTTGATGAGTTGGAAGGCGAAATGGGATGTCCTAAACTGATTGTGTCAGAACAGCACCTTCGACAGATGATTGAAATGGATCTGCCTGTACCTTGCATCGCCAAACTGCTTGGCATCTCAACACAAACTGACCAATGCAGAATGCAGGAATACGGTATCGTGGTGAGGGGAACATACAGCCATACAGACGAGGAGCTGGACAATCTGGTGGCCACAATCAAGACAAGTTCACCACAATTGGGATGGTGAGAGAACGTCTGAAAGCACTGGGTCATCGAGTCCAGTGGACGCGAGTGTGGGACTCAGTGCATCGTGTAGATGCTGCAGGAATACAGGAAAGAATGGCAC